AATATTTTTATTCGTCTTCTTTTCTTATTTTTCATTTCTTCATTAACATTTATACATTTTCTTCTACAAATACTATCCTTTTAAAAATCTATTTATAAATCATTCTATTTTATTTTATAGGTATAAAGATACAGCGTCCGCTGCGTCAGGCATAGAAACAGAAGCTACCGACACAGATGTCGAGACCGAAAACGAGGAGGATTGGGTAGAGCGGCCGTTTGTGCGCCACAGGCTGCACGCGCAGATCCTGGCGGGTGGCGGTAAGATTTACGAAGACTTCGATCAGATACCAAAGGACGAGTACAAAAATACGAAACTCATCACAAACGTGCCAAACACGACGACAAAAAGCATACTGTGTCTTTCAGTCGCAATCACAAGTGGATCATTAGATGCTGTTCAGAAGTAAGTTGACATTTCCACGATCATTCTTTAATTGTGCGTGTCGGATATTTTTAAGATTTCGTATTTTGAATGTTATATATATGCATATATATATACACATATTTTATATTTCTTCGTTTCATTATATTCTTCTTATCATATTTTTTTTCGTTATAATTTGTTTTATATTTATCATAATTTTATTTTTATCATTACGATCGTGTGTTTCAAGGGAAAGATTGTAAACGCGGCGGAGGATGCGCTTCCTACCGGTTGGAGTTTGCAGAAGAAAGCCTATGTAGAAATGTTCGAAGCGGATAAAAGTAAGCCGCTGTTGGAAAACATCGTGATAATTCCCAATTTGGTATCCGTTAGGCAGTTTACCACATTCTGGCGGCAAGTTTGCGAGAATGCGGGCGCGGTGGTCTTAATCGTCGATAACTTGGGTATTTTATTTTTTTTTTTTGCTACATTGCATTCTCTCTTTATTGCCGAAACTATAGATTCTTTCGTAAAACAGATTTATATTTCATAATAAATATTAATATATATATTCGATAAATATTAATATTGTATATTCTGTTGTAATGCACAATATATATAAAATTTATGAAAATTAAAATACAAATAAACAGATAAAGTAGCGAGAAATAAGGGCTAGATGCAGAAAATAGGACGCAAACAATTGACTTGGAAAAAGAAATTTAATAATTTATAACAATCCCTTTTCAAATCATCAGCAATTGTAAAATCGACAAAAAAATTATGTCATACATAAGATAGAATAAAGTTATGCACTAAAGAATACATATATGGAATTGAAAGAATATGTTCTGATATCCAGGAACCCTTAGCAATTCCAACATAAGTGTGGCAAGTCTCCTACTGGTTCCAGCCAATATATATATATATATCTTAGAAATAATATAAAATATTTTTTCTAAGATATTTTTCCTATAAACAAGGGCACAGATTTGAAATTATTCTTCAATGATTAAACCTTGCAGCAAGATATTCGTATGCAACATTAGATGAAATTGAAGAAAGTTGAAAATAAAGGAAGAACAATAAAAAGGAGAAAACTCAGAATAAATCATACAAATGCAAAAAACTAAGATCTTTTGCCAATTTAAAGATGATCTAAAAAGGGACCGAGAGATGTTATAGATTATAAAATTTCTTTTTCAAAGACACACACACACACACACAACACAATCGTTTGCGCCCTATTTTCTGCATCTGACTCTTATTTGCTCACTTCATTACTTTTATTTTTTGTATCATCTTAGATCTATTAGAGCTTACATATATACATATATATTTTTTTTGTAAAATTGCTTTACACACACATACCTTAATCAATTACAATACTCGTACAAGAACTTATCGAATGCATTATATTATTTTTAGGAGCCATGGAAGCCCTAGATTTCGACAGTAATGTAATAGTCCTGTCTAGTAGGAGATGCCCATCATGGGCTGTGGACAGAGCAAATCACTTACGAATTCCAATACTGTCGACCACGTGGGTAATTCAGTGCTTAATCGAGGGTAAACTCTGTCCACATGATCAGCATCCGCGTTATAAATATAATTGCATACCAAATTAAGAGAGCTGATTAGTTTATTGTTTTTACCCTACGTTGTCTAGGATGAATGTAATTTGTATAGAGACTGTATTTTGTTTCCTTTCCCTCCTTGTTTCTTATTTAAAAAAAATTTTTTTTTTTTTTTTTTTCGTTATCTCGCATAAAATGCAAAATGATTTTATGCAATCGTGAATCATAAGATTGTTCAATTTTATTTTTTACACATCTCTATTATTGTTTTTAATTCATTAATAATATATTGCATGGAAATCATCGTTTTGTTCCTATTGTATTTTCTAGAGAAATCACTGACGCAACGATCTATATTCTTTCTGTTTTTACTTATATTTTTGCTGTAATGTTAATAATGCCCATTTGATATGGCGTTTTATCGCGCGACATCAAATAGTGAAATAATTTGTTTTCTATATTTATATATAAATATATATGTACATATATTATTTCTATTATAATTATATATATTTATATATAAAACAGAAAAAAAATATGTAGTAAATATCCATCGTTTTGAAAGTATGCAAAATCACTGTGTGATTATGTTAAAACTTTATAATAGAGAAACGTGAGAGCAATTTCAATCAGAATGGCCGGATGACAGTTTCATATCAGTAGACACAAATTCTTATATTCCGCTTTCTATTAATTTTTACAAATATAGACACAGCTATTTTGTACGAGACATAATTGCCTATCATCAAATTTAATCAATTTAATTATTTTTTACAAAAAGAGAAAAATTTTTTTACAAATAACGTACCTTTGGGGACACACACATATGCTGATTGGTAATTGCTAGGAACAATTTTTCATAGAATAATATATTCGACTTTGTTTCCCTAACATTTGTCAACCAGTATAATTAACAGTACAGTTGACGAAATACAAAATTGAATAAACAAGTGGTGGAGCAAGTGTATGTATGTGTCCATGCGTGCATGTATGTAAAAATGCGCGTGTAAATAAAAATATAGATATATATTATACAAATTTTATTACTAATAAGTTAATTGTAGCTTATGTACAATGATGTTTGAGGAGATAAAATACAGCAACAGATATTTTGGGAAACATTCTTACTTCTCTCTTTTTAGATCCTTCCATCTTCTCAACACTCTTCCCTTGTTTTTTTACACTTACAAAAAGATAATTATTGCAAATTGGTACAATCCAGAAAATTTAATATATAATCCCACTAATTAAAAATAATTACAGACTAATAATTGAAGATTTATGTTTTATGGATTGTACCAAATGTTTTTTATAAGTAATTCTCTTCCTCGCATGTAGTAGCAATTAAGATCAAATAATTTTTACGGATTATACCAATCGAGGAACAGTAGCGAGAACGACATTACCAAAAGGAAGAAGAGGATCCACACTCTGAGACCAGCGTTCCGTTGAATCGCTTGTCGAATCTGCTCGTTGGCTTCCTTCACGTTTTCTGTAGATCCAACCACTGTCGTCATCAGCCTGTCCAGATCCTTGTCTTGATCCAGAACTTTCTCCGTAAAGATCTCCTGAAGCTCGGCAATGTGAACCACTTTGCTCTCGATCTGTTTAATTTCCTCCGTCACATTATTCAGTTCATTGTACAATTGCTCGTTCTCCGATTCGAACATCTGAATATCTTCAGCTGACGGTTCTTCTTCGTACGTCAACGTAGTAACGTCCTCGTTGATCTCCTGTATCTTCATCGGACTCGATTCGTTCGAATGACTTTTAGTTTCGCGATCATTCACGGATCTCTCCGTCGTGTTCAATGATGACTTCCTAATCTCCGGCCGATCGGGTTTAGGATCCGTCTGTAGCTTAGCGATCCTCTGCATTTCCACAGCCCTCTTCACCCGCATAGCTTTCTGCTCTGAGTAAATGTGACAGACGTTCTTCAGATAATCCTCTATCTGCAACAGCATGATCTCACGGTGCTCAACATTCTGCCGAGACAAATCTTCCGCGGACGTCGCGATCTCTCTCTTGAGATCCTTAACCAGCTGCGAGCAGGTGCTCATTATCCGCTGACCTCCGACGTCGATTTCGTCGCGTTCCGCATCCGTCATACGCGGAGCGGTTGACAGGTAACTGGAGAAGTTTAGGTAGGCTTTACGGTTCTCCAGCAGGAACTGGCGTAGCTTCGAGATCTGCACGACGACCGCGTGCACCTTTACGCAGAAGGTACTTTTGGTCACGGTTTTCCTCGGTGGCGTGCCCACTGGGGTGCCGAGGTCCTTGTTGCGCGAGTTCACCGTTCTCACGCTGGCCTTGAATAACGCGCTCACATCCATGACCATTTTTCGTGGAATGCTATTTTACAGAACCTTTTATCGAACCTTCTCCCCGACGAATATCAATTGATATTTATTGAATCAATTCATCCTACAAACATTGAAATATATCTGACATGTTGAAAACAGAACAAGGGTCAAGAATCACATATATATGTATATATACATATATATATATATTTTTAAATTGAGAGTTCAAAAATATAAACACGGAAAATAATAAAACGAAAACTAAAATTTCTTTGCAACGTCATTTCCTTCTCTCAGCATTTCAATTATTATATTCCGATTATAAATGACGATTGTAATATTTATTTGTTGCAATTATAATGCAGTAAACTCTATGCCCTTCTAAAGTAAATTAATGAAACAGCAATATAATAGCGGATATAATCGTCAGTTTTTATGTAAACACCAGTCATCACATATTAATTTAAAAGTTAGGTTACGCGTATCCTAACTTATGATATATACTCGCCCTAGTCCTAAAAGAACAAGAAAACACAAGAAAAGCACAAGTACGTTCAGATAAAACCATAAACAATAAAATATACAAAGATGTACTACTCCCGTAAAAAAAAAAAAAAAAAAAAACGGTAAAATTTATATTTATAGTAACTTTTAGTCTTCAGAAATTAGAAAATTACTAGGATTGGTAAATTTTAATTTCCGAAAATTGAACTTACTTTGGTAAATAATTAACTTTACACAATCGGATCTTAAGAACTTTTTTTAAGTCTGACAGGATAATCTATTAATATATATATTCATAATATTTAATATTTTAAAAATAGTTATATATTTTGTAGAAGTAAAATTGTAGATTATTATGGAAAATTATTTTTTCATATAAAATCTATGATATATGGTTCAATAATATAATACAAGTTCCATAATTATAGAGGGATATACCATTATATAGTAAAATCTTGCTTATTAATTTTATCATTTATTTATTGAACTTATTTACCTTATAGAGTTTAACGCTATACTATACACAGATGAATCATCAAACATTGTCGGCTGGTTGAAAATCAGCCAAGAAGGCATTATATTTATCCACAATATTTAGTTCCTGAGACTCGTTACTCTTATCGTCGTATTGTGAACCAACTGTCCACAAAGTCTCTAAATCATAATGCTCCCTCGCAAATGGAGAAAAAATATGCAAAGCGATGTTTCCTACAACATATAATGATAAACAATTTATTATAATAATTAACAATTCAAAAAATTAACAAATTTATAAGCTTTCTTAAGTCTACAGATAAATTTATCGATAGATTTCATCTCTGCATCCGCACTATATTACTAGTTTGTTTTACTTGCATATTTATCGACTGTGCATTTTATTTTGATTTAATATAACTAAAAAAGTTTTTTTCCGATAGTTTTTCATGTAATTATATAGTGCAAACTAACTTTTGCCAAAGGTATATTTTTTTAATTAGTGTAAATCCAGTATATATTTAAATCAGATTTGTAAAAAGTTGAAGAGATTTACAAATACAATATAATTTTCAATTTATGGAAAAATGTATTTACCTAAATCTAGAGCTATCCAATCTTTCGAGTCTTTTCCTTCGATTTTGGGTATTAAATCTGTTGGATATTTTTTCAGTTTGTAAACTTTGCGTACAAAGGTGGCAAGAGCATTCATGTGCTTCCATGACTTTCCTGTCACCACAACTATATAGTCCACATAAGCATATTCTTGTGGTACTTTAGCAACAAAGATGTTATTTGCCTTGTCTCTCTCCAGCAACGCAATGAGATCCTCGATATCATATACACCAGTAGTACCATCTAAAACACACACAAATAAATCTTATTACATTACTATACTCATTATAAATCAAACTTCATTCATCACATTCTTCTTATGATAAACATACTACATCCTTATCATTATTCATTACAATTATATATTATTATTATATTATTAAAATATGGTTGCGTGTTTGGATGTTTTACGATATAAATAACAATTATAAATATAAAATTATTATTAATTATTTTAAAAAATCTTCTAATACATATTTTTACACATATCACATGACCTCTCTAGATTCGTACTCACGGCACAAATTTATATCGGCATAAGGATCATGAACTTCCTCTTGCGCGCTTACGTCTTCGATGTTGATCTTCTCCAACTCCTCGCTCACGTCAAGAATAACATCCGCATCCTCGTCATGGAAGGCCTTGTATTTCGTATTGATAGCGGTCGCGAGGTTATCATCTTCGCTTTTAGACGCATCACCAGGTTTTCTGTCCGGTTTACTCGAGAACTCCCTCGTCAATTTCAATTGCGAGTACGTTAGTATTTGCGTACGATTACTGCTGGAAGATCCGCGCAATATTCGTCGGGCGCGAAGTAAATTCCTCAGAATACACGTGCGCATCTCGAGCGACCTACAGAATTCCGACCTCGACTATAGAAAGCAAGGTTAAATCGCTACTCGTGTATTGACAAATATACATATATATATATATATAAATATAATTTTTATATATTTAAAAAATAATATACATTATGTACGAATCTCTTTTTCTTAATTTTTTGGCATATCTATTTCCAACATAATTATTTTTATGAGAAAAGTAGATCTGAATAAGATTGTAAAATACTTCTCGAATATTTTACTTTATTTTTCAATCTATTCTTGTGCGACATTCTTAAATACTATATAGATTATATTGTTCTTTCAAATTTTTCGCACACCTATATATTTGTTTATAAATGAACTTTTTTGTTAGATCAATGTATCAGCAGAGAAATTTTGAAATGCACAAATCTGAATTATATTTACAGAGTATTCTATAAATTTGTAATTTATCTATCATGCCCTTATTCTAAAATTAAAAAAATAATATTTATAGGGAGAGAGGAGGGAAGTCCCAAATATAAAACGGTGTTTTATCTTGGATAGTCGCTGCATTTAACCAAACAAGATTTACATGTATAAAATGCTTTCTGTGTGAAAAACAAGTCCATTGAATAGATCTTCATTGGAATTTTCATCCCAGCTGAAGGTGCAACTGGAAATGTTGATGAAACGGCGAAATATCGCAGGTCTGTTCTTCCCACAGCTGAAATAATTCGTTTGTGTGTGAATAAAAATGGAGAAAAATCATACGAATAAATCAATTCGTTTACAACATGAAATAAAGTTTATACTTACAAAGCTTGCGTGTGTAAGTGTGTGCACATACGGAGAAATTGTTTACTTGGACCTCGCACGCATCTTCCTCCTCTTGCGCTTTAGCCTGCGCATTCTCTTCTTACGCCACTGCAAATTAAACACGCCGTTAGTTGAGGTTATGACAATTCGTGAAACCAGTAAGGAATATAATTATGAAGCGAGAAATTCGATTGAAATAACAATGAAAAGCAAGCTTGATTTAATTACAAGGCTATCGAAACGATGAGAAAACTTTTAACACAGTTATCGGCATCGTGTCGATATAAAACTCGTAACGTAATGTAAGCTGCTATATTTCGACACTCGTATTTTTCTCATTACAAAATAATTATATATACTCAGGAAACGTAATAATGATCGACGGTAACGGAAACCAGCTCACCTTAGCTCTCATCTTCCGGATTAAAGAATTTTAGATCGCTCTAGAATCGCTCGATTACTCTGGATTTTGTCACACGACTACATTCGACGGCTTCTCCTAAGAAAGTGGACGTGGTAAAGCGGGGGCAACGGGGTTTGCGCGACGTAAACTAGATAAAGCATCTAGTTTGGAAAGAGAGTGCGCTATTTCGCTCGGCTATTTTGGTGAGATCATGCTTGGGAGCTTTTGGTTGACCAATGAGAACAAAGAAATTTTTGTCCCTTTTGCCTTGATTGGTCGATCAGACGCTCGTACGTTCCTATTGGTGAATTCTTTATCAGTTGAGTTTCTCACAATATTTTACCAATGCCTTTACATTCCGCTATTCCGAATCCGCGTTCCGGCGCGATTCCGCATTCCCGCGTTTTCCCGCGTTCAAAGCCCGTCCCGCCAAAAATGCAACACAGCTGCTACACAGCTGAATGCACTTGTTGCGCGGCAAATGACGTGTCTCGTTCACAAATTCGGTCATTGTGTAATTTATTAGCGACGTGGACGGAACGTTTTCCGAGGAACGTTTCGAAAAGATTGCGTGCGAGGTGAACATAGCGGCATCTTGCACAAGAATCGCTTCCAAGATCACGAAGACAGGATTTCGAGAATACAGTATGTGAATTTTTGTCGAATCTTGTCGCATTTCCCACGAGGAGTTCGTCGACTCTCTTTATCCCTTTATCCTTTTTGCGCTTAATCTTACTTTCATTCAAGGATCAAAATTGACGGATTCTTCGAGCGCGATGTCGGGCACTCAGACCACCATCTCTTTTCCCATACGAAAGAAATGCAGTTTTTACGGTCGCAAAGAGGACATCGCGAAGGAAGATTTCACAAACGCGACAGCGAGATACACGCCGTCCAAATATACTCCGACCGTGAAGAAGATCGTCACTTTGACTAGCAGCGAGTCCGAGTCTGATTCGGATATCGAGAACACGACGGAAAAGCATAATGGAATAATCGGTGACAGGCGAGCGGACAGCGCGGACAGTACACCGAGATCGAGACGTCGCAAGTGTAACGAATTATATGGTAAAGAATATTATTTTATTTAAAAGTACTTTATAAAGTATTGTAGTATTAATTCGTATCTTGACTCTTGTAATTTATGTGATAATTATGTATGTTGTTATTTTTTTGCTTTATATATTATAATTAAACCCTACAGGGGATTCTTTGTATTAATTTATGTTTTATTTATTGTTATGAACTGATAAATTATACCTTCTTTCAGAAGAACACACTCCTTCTCCACCTAAACAGAGAAGGAACAAATCGCAAGGAAGAAATAAATCTCCCCTGACTCCGTCTACTCTTCTGGATAAATTACATCTATCTGCTGCGAATGAAAGCAAATTAAATCCTAAGCAATTATTTAAATCCCATCTCTCCAAGGAAGAAGACGAATTAAATTCTAATTTATTATCTGGATCCAATAAGTATCAGAATGCGCGTAAAGCGTTGCATAGTTGTGTGACAGAGGAGCTGCCTGGAAGGGAAGAGGAGTTAGCGAAACTACAGGAATTTTTTCAGAAACATCTAGAGAAAGGAACATCAGGTTCCCTGTACGTTTCCGGGCCACCGGGCACTGGAAAAACTGCCAGCCTGTTCAAGATCATGCAGCAATCAGACTTAAGATCCAAACTTAAGATAGTCTACATCAATTGCACCAGCATGAAGTCTGCAGCTGCCATCTATGCGAAAATAATCCAGGAGCTGGCCATAACTAGCGCAACAAAATCGGGGAAGAACGGCAAGGCCGTTATAGAGAGATATTTAACATCGAAGAACAAGTCGCTACTCCTGGTGTTGGACGAGATAGATCAATTGGAGAGCAAAAAACAGTCTGTGCTGTATTCTATATTCGAATGGCCATCTATACCGGAGTCCAAGCTGATCCTCGTTGGAATCGCTAATGCTCTGGATCTGACTGATAGGATACTACCCAGATTGCAGGCCAGATGTGAACTGAAGCCGATGTTGGTACACTTTGCGCCATACACTAAGCAACAGATATTTGATATAATATCCGCGAGACTGAATCATGCGAACGCGAACGGCGTATTTACACCGTCCGCGATACAGTTGCTCGCAGGCAAGGTAGCCGCGATTTCCGGGGATATCAGGAGAGCTTTGGACATCAGCAGAAGGGTGGTGGAATTGGCAGAGTCTCATCAAGTGGCACAAGTGTTACGTCCAACAAATGACAATGGTAATTAATTCTTTTTGAATATAATAGAACAACATAAAACAATACAAAGATGAATATATAGAAAAATTAATATATTATATATATATATATATATATATATTTCTCCTTTTTTTAAATTTAGATACAAACATAGAGTCTCTGAAGCAAGAGACAGAGGTAACAGAGAAGCCAGTTGATTTGAAAGAGGTAGTTACGATTCTAAATGGAGTTTATGGTGGCACACAGAATATTGATCAAGAACAGGATACTTTTCCTCTTCAACAGAAATTGTTACTTTGTTCTCTATTACTTATCTTGAATAAGGGAAGAAACAAGCATGTTACTGTTGGAAAGGTAAGTTTGTTAAAATTCATGTTAGAGATTTGTTATAAGCAAATATATGATTGTAACTCATTTAGTTACTATATAAATTTATAATATATAATAAAAAATATATAATTAAAAATAATAATACAATAAATGATACCTATTATCATTGCAAGTTTCTTCTTTATATAGCATTTTTATTTATTTCAGTTACATGAGGTGTACAAAAAGGTTTGCAAAAAACGTAATATATTCGCCGTCGACGATTCTGAATTTGTAAATCTATGCTCATTGATAGAGACTAGGGGTATTTTAAGAGTTGTGGGCAAGAAGGAGGCACGTTTATGCAAAGTAAACTTGCAGTGGGACCAAGAAGAATTGGATGCAGCTTTGCAGGACAAACAGATGATGGCCGACATAATTAACGATACAAATTGTTTGTAGAATAATTAGAGAAATTCATTATTTTTTAATCTCTAATTTATTTTATAGCTCTTTTTAAATTTTATATACATAGTGTGGAAAGCGAGCATCCCGATTATTATCAGTCGATTGTTACATCACCATTGCGTATCATTTTTCTATGTATAATTGTTTTAATAGTCAAATTGTATTGTTAGCACGTTAAAATCTACTTTGTTACTAAACGTAAACGTCTCTATCATGTTGTATCATTCGACGAGGTATAACGAGGTTTATTGAATGATTGATTGTACCATGTGTGTAATGTTGCGCGAGATTGTATATTCCGTATCGATTCTTAAAATTTCTGCGAAATAGATTGAGCATGATACACGATATTTTTGCAGAAAATGTGAGAATGTTTTATGTACAAATATTTATGTCGAATAGAGTGTATAAAGTGAAATTTTTATTCACTTGCATTTTTTTATTTATGCCTTTTGTACAAAACTATAGGCTTACATTTCAAAAGTCTGCGTATTATTTTTTTTACTTCCAAAATCCATTGAATTTTTTGAATATATAGTTGGCGAAATTGGAACCAGAGGAAGTTAAAAATAGTAGTTATTTTAATGATTAATTCCATTTTTTTGTATATTTATTTCTGCGGTAAAGTTTATTGAGAAATGCGTAAGAAATAGACTTTTGAAATGATTTGATAAAATATTAAAATGAAAAGTTTTTAACATATTAACACAAAGAGAAACAAGTATTTATTTGTAGTCGAAACAGGAATGGGCCCTTGGTATCCTATGCACGATCATGTAAAGTTAAATGGAGTTAAAGAGGGTCAAGCTAGGTTAAACTGGGAGTCCTTTATACTTGCATTGTTTACACTACTAAAATGGACAAAAAAGTGGCATAATTAGGATTTTAATATACAATCTTGATTAATCATATCGAGTTTCAAAGATGTTACATTTCGGAAAACTGCTCCCCAAGACACTTCTCAATGTGGTTTTAGCTTTAATATTTATACTATTTTTCTGTGAATATCTTATATATTATATAGTACTTGTACAGGTGAGTCTCTATAACGTCTTTATATTAAATGAATAGATCTGTCTTTGACGAGATTGAAAAATTCTGATCTGTGGTTCATAGTGCCAATGGCCTGCTTTAAACCCTCAAAAAGAAGACCTCACTCTACATACAGAAGCAACGGACAGGCCTATCAAAGCAATGTTTATTGCGGATACTCATTTATTAGGTCCCAGAGAGGGACATTGGTTTGATAAGTTACGAAGGTCTGTATTCCTCAAATTATATATTAAGAATATATTATGCTTTGTATATTTTATTTGTTATATAATATCTATTAAAAGAGAATTATTAAGAATTATTGTTCCAGAGAATGGCAAATGTACAGAGTATTTCAAACTATGATGACGATACACAAACCAGAGGTGGTTTTCGTGTTAGGTATCTTTAATATTTATATCGATATTTCTTTTCAAAAGAATCATTGTTTTATCTTTAATATAATATTCAGGTGATGTCTTTGATGAGGGACAATGGTGCAGTTCCACAGAATTCGAAAATTATATACGAAGATTTCATTCCCTGTTTTATGTACCCAAGGACACACGTCTCTATATCGTCGCTGGGAATCACGATATGGGATTTCATTATGGTAAAGTAAAGAGCATATTTTCATCCGAATCAATTCAAAACATATTTCTGATCACATTTTTCAACTGTGTTTGTCGTTTAACTTTCAGCAATCACGCCGTATCGTAATCAGCGTTTCATTAACGGTTTGAAGAGTCCAAGTGTGCGGCGACTGAGTATAAGGGACAATCATTTCGTGCTGATTAATAGTATGGCGTTGGAAGGAGATGGCTGTTTCCTGTGCCGACCGACCGAGATCGCGGTGAATAAAATAGCCAGTGAGCCCGTCATTCGTACGCTCTCGCGTACTAACCAAGATCCTTGTAATTGATTAATCGTTATATAAATCTTTACAATCACATTACAGAAGATCTGAAATGTGCGAGAAAGATGAGCAATGATTGTCGCAATGCGAGCGCAATATCCAGATATAGTAGACCTATATTGTTGCAAGTTAGTTATGCTACATGTATATTAATTTGTCTTAGAAATTCTAAAGATTTAAAAGAATAATATTTAGATAAAAAAAATAAACAGATATATCAATCTCCTTTTTTTCAGCATTATCCGATGTATCGAGAATCGGACGAGATCTGTAATGAATTGGATCAGGCCCCCGACGAGATAAAGGCCATAAAGTTTCGGGAGCGGTGGGAATGTTTGTCGAAGGAAGCCTCGGAACAAGTACATATTATCTGACAATTTCGTAGATTGCGATCATATTCGTATTTGATAACATTGATGCTAAATTTGACGATTTTGTTTCATCAGCTTCTAGATATCTTCAATCCGCGCCTGATCGTCGCCGGACACACCCATCACGGCTGCAGAAAAATACATCGAGATGACGTTCTGGAATTCACGATCCCGTCCTTCAGCTGGCGCAATAAGGTCAATCCGTCTCTTCTGATGGTAAATCTTGATTCTGATTTCGACGTTAACCCATTAACCAATGTCTTTTATTTTTGGAGAATAAGATTTTCGATAATATTCCTTAAACTTATCTATAATTTTCATTATATTTTTATCTATTTGACGATTCTGGTATTTTAATCTGAGATCTTTAGAGAAAATAGAACAATCGAGAAATTCTTATTGCAATATTTTATATTACGAAATTAAATATTCAATGAGTTAATTATCCCCATTTGGAACACAATATATCTGTGAATGTTTTTATTCCAGGGTACTTTCACTCCAAACAATTATTCTGTTTCAAAGTGTTACATGCCTGTGGAATCTACCGTAATCACTATTTATAAGATTAGTTTCACAAGTGTCTTGATATATTTTATTATAAAACTCAGACCGAGACGGCACACATATTCTCGCTTAAAAATGCCTTGAGTAACTTCTCTGTTGTGACAAGTTCAATTGTGATGTTAAAATGCGAACGAGCATTATAATAATTCTATATACAATATAATTTTAGGAGGCTACAATTTTCGAAATGATAAAGACAAATTTGTATACACTTTTCATACACGCTGTCATTTGCATATTATTTACATTAGTAATTGTATAGAATACTTTGTGATATATATATAATAATTTGTAACGATAATCATTATCAATTTCGATGTACATAGCACTCTACTACGGAGAATACACAAGATACACATTTATTAAAAAATTATATTGTGTATATATAAAGTATTGACAGATACTTTTATATAAATGTGTCACAAAGAAAGATCGATATTACAAATTAAAGTTTAACGAAATAAACACTCAAAATTTCCGACGATGATATCTAAAGGCTAAGGAATGAAAACGTAATTGCAATATTGAAAGTAAATACACAAACTTTATATCATTATTCTTACTCATTGTATGTGTGCTTATTATTACAACAATCGGCCAAGACAACTGCAAAACTGCATATAATATGCTTACTTCAAAAAGGAAACAGAAACGAATAACACTTTAGACTGGCTCATTCATTATAGACTATATAATACTTTCGCACATTGACTGTCATTAATATCACATTATTTGAATATTTTTACACAGTAGCGTGTGCTTGTTCTCCTTCGACGAGACAAGGACCGATATTGATATAGCCAACGTTCTGTTTATGAATTTTATAGATTATTTTTTAGTGTGTGAATATGTCGTAGATTGTAAGTACTAACAAAGAAAATCGCGCTACTAAAAATCAAATAAAAATAGTATATGTATTGTACAATGGAAGCTTTACATTCTCCCATTCCTTATTCGTATATTTTGTTAATTCACAATTCGATATACTTGCAGTCATCTTTCACAAATATAACAAAATTACAAGTAAATAATAAAACGAAAAAAAAGATTTAGTTTCAACAAATGTTAAAAAAAGTACTTATGATTTCCATTTTAAAATTAAAAAAAAAAAAAAAATGTCAAAGATAAAAACATTTTTTCCTATTTAAAAATGTATTAATTTTTCAATATATTTCTTTTTTTTGCCTCTCACAATCTCCATATTTGTGACAATTTTCGTACACGATGTAAACTTTGGCGAATAAGGAGCTTCCACTGCTGTCATGATGATGGATGCAATGATAAACAGAAAATAGAAATCTTATATCGAATCATATCAAATATTCATATACATATTTGAGTAACAAAATCCTTTGCAAATGTTTGCAGTTTTGAAATTTCGTGGAAGATATAGATGCATCCACACTTATTCCACTTATTGTTTCTATACAAAAAACTTAAGCCCTTTCTCTCTCTCACATTTTCTCTCTTAATTAAATTAAAAATCTAAATTTATTCACTCGTATTATTCTACTAGTGATAATTTTGACTAGTCTATCTTGACGGCCGCGTATATCTTTCTGATGAAAGCGTACGCGGCGAAGAAACCGATCGTACCGGTCAATAGCCAGAATGTGAGGACCATCAGCGCGGTGTAGCCAAAGTACATGAGGGTTGGCACTAATTCAGTAATCTCCAGCTTGGTGACGAAATAAAAGACGGAGTATGCCAACACATAGACCGCTGATCCGCCACTCACGATGAAGCTTCGCCACCACCATCTATAGTCCTGCAGATGGAACGTTAAAATGTAGGAATCAGAATATTACAAAGGTATATTTTTATAGATTCGGGAAACGAAAGAAATGTACTTTCAAACTGCAAATGATAGAATTAAATCGAAGAAAAGAACGAAAAAAGAAGAAAAGAACATGGTTTTTTAATCTTCTTCTTATACTTACTTCGCCGCATAATTGGAAGTAGACCATGACTATTGATATCTGCGAGCACGAGATTACAAGGATGCAGAAAACAAGGAATAGAAATCCAAAGAGGTAGTAGAATTGATTTTCCCACAGTGCAGTCAGGATGAAAAAGAGTTCTATGAATACAGCGCCAAATGGTAGAATTCCAGCCATTAAAGTACTGCAAATAAAAAATTGTATTGTTGTATTGATTTATTAATTAATATATTTAGATATAAATGGATTGTGTGTGTGCATAATGTATGTTTTTAATGACGATACTTCACAGCAAAGTTAAAGTAAAAATATATCAAGATTTAATCCTGTTTAAACTTACCATAATATTGGATTCATATACCATAGTTGGTCAGGAACTTGTCTAGGAATTTGATTCGTTCTAACTGGATGCGTGAAAGGCTGCTTACGGTAACCAAAGAAGTAGCCAAGATAGACAAGAGGCAGAGAGATGCCAAACCAGAGGCATAGCAAGGCTACCATGGTGGTGAAGGGGACTGCACCGGAACTGTGCTTTCCCCATATGAAGAAATTTAGGAAGAAGCATGTTGTGAAAACTATACCAGGATAAAATGTTGCTGTCTGCAATACAATATTGATTTTTAGAATACAAAATAGCAATTGCTGTTAGAATTAGAAACTACGATACTATTAATTACAGAGGATTAGAGGAAAATTATATATATATAGAAAAATACGAATATATTACATGAATATATTATATAAACATTCATATTATTATATATAATATATATCTATTAAATTTTACCAATAGAGCGGCTCTTCTCCACTCCCGACCTCGCATCGTCTTGTACAGTCTCGCCGAGAAGTAGCCGGCGATCAAACCGGAAAACACGTACAAAAATATCGCGCAAGTGCCCAAGGCTCCTCGACTCGCTGGCGACAGCATTCCCAGCATCGCGAAGACTGCAGAAACAGACGGAAAATATATAGTAATCGTCTCATATTCCACGTTGAAAATTTAATTGTGCACCTACATATCGTAATCAAAGCCATGAAGAAGATCTGGATGCCGCTGCCGATCACGGCGGCGAATAAGCGCGAGTTGGTCGGCGGTCGAAACACATCTCCGTGGACTAACTTCCAGCCAGTCTCCTCGATCGTTTCGTCCAGACCCGCTAGACTGTCACTTTCGCCTGCGTTATAACGAGCAATGTCCCTCCTAAGCGTCCTCACCATGATCATTGTCAGAATTCCTGCGCGATTAACATACAATTCAAAAATTGACAAACGATTAATGTGCAGTATTCTCAAACACATGGATATTATTATTGAATTCTTTTAATTAAGTATATATATTGTTTCTTGAAAATGACATTTTATATTCAACAATGCAATACTTTCTCCACTGATTTGTGAATCATTAAATTAAATTTAATGCCACATTGATGTATAATGCAATGTATAGAATGTTTCAAAAAATTATAACAGAAAAGTTTGCGAGAAGTAACAAGAGCAAGTGATAGTTTCTCAAATGCAAGAATTTTGAAATCTTGTCAATTGCGGTAATTACCAGACAGGAAGAAGACGACAATAAGGGAATTGATGATCGAGAACCAATGAATCTCGACGTCACTCATGCCCAGATATACGTCCCATCTACTGGCCCAGCTTACATCCGATTGTTTCCACTCCACCGAATATAGGAAGAGGAGGCGCGTGCTTTTTGGACTGACAAACTGTGGGTTCGCTTCGTTCGGTATTATGCAGGTATTCCCGTCGAACTTCAATTGTGTTGTGTCGATGGATCGAGTTTCCACCTCGAATCCGACTACTCTAAATTCGTCTCTAAATTTGTACAAGTAAAAAGGAAATGATGAGTTTTTGTCGCCTTATTCTCTCTTTTATGTTTTTTTTTTCAGCATTGTTTTAATCCTTATTTTGATTATAAAATCTCTTCATATCCGATTTAAATTGATTTCTTGTATATATTTAAATATAATCGAAATTAATTTATACAGAGAGCTGTATAGAATGGATACTAACTCGCCATGTTTATGATAGCTTAATATTAGCTTAAGATAATTGTTGATGTACACTTGATCGTTCATTATTCCACCCAAACGATATCCTTGATAAACAACCACGTTATTTGTCTCTTTGTGTTTCTTTCTAGTAGCTGCTGGTAAGTTGTCTATCAAACTAAAAAAAAATCCAAGTTAAACAGAGACGAGCAAAATGCCAAAAATATTCTTTTTTTAAACATATATAACAATAAAATGCCCTAACAGATGGACAAAATATTCGTGCTGTATCATCTGAATAACGTGCTGGGAATTAGCCTCGTCCCAGGTCATAAATCTAGATGGATCGTGACACAGCAATCTGCAATTGACATCTTCTCCCATTACAACCTCGTATGGAGTATTTACTATCCTAAAGGAAAAAAAAATAATTAAGATTATATTTATAATAAAAGTAAAAGAGAATTATTTTCGTAAAATTTTCCAAAATCAAAGAAGATAGTACCTGTCACCTCGCAGCACCTCTCCCAAATTTTCAGATTTGTAAATAAAAATTTCTTTCTTGGGTCGACAAAAGGGAAGAGAGTAATATTCGTATGGTAATTGCGTATGGATGCTGGTCATTTTGACAGCTTTAACATCAATCTTCTGGCCCTTCTTGAACTCCACTGGAGCGACTCCAGGTACATAAAAGCCATTGGTCTCTATTAAGAGGGATATTACCACTAATACAGCACCATGCCTCTGTAATCTTCCCTGTATCGGCAAATTTAATTGATTGACGTTAAAATGTGAATAATAACGTTGTAAAATATTATATCGAGATTAGACCGGCAAAGTTTGTAAAAAGTAAAAAAAATTATTTATGCAAAGATATCAATATTTTATCGTGTGAAAAAAAAATATTCACTTATGCAACAAGTGCTACAACACAAATCTCTTCGCCAATAAACTATTATAGTCGATTTTACCGTCGTTTTTATGCTTTTTTTTTTACTATTTAAGACAGATATATCCTTGTGCGTATCTAGTGACATACAATTGCGTAAACACAAACATACACAGCGAAATGAATCATTAGATATGTACGTGTGCCACATAGTTCGTGCAACGTATAAGAGAAACGTAGACGAAAAGGAAGAGGAACGCGACGACTTTCGAGCATAATAAAGTGATGATCGGGCGCTTTAAATCGTCCTGTCAATCCCCGTTTGACAGTGGTCCGCACGCAGATCGCCGTGATACGCGCGAGGTTGTGTCATAATCCGCGTGGCACACGACGCGTTAATTTCGCGAGATCGAAATCGGGAAGCCTCGCGAATCGGTCAGAGAATCACACCTACCATTCTACGCGATTCGTATCGTTACTTTTCACGAAGGCGCGCCACGCCGTCTCTCTTTCTCTCTCGCACTGTCTCGGCCTCGATCTCGTTGCCACCTCAAAATCGCTCACCGCGATATCACGTCAGTCAGGACGGTAGTGTCGGTAGTGTTGATAGACGTACCCTCTTTTTCGCGCGTGCGCGCAACGATATCGGGTTCGTGAGATTTTCCGACGCGTGCGCAGTAGTATAATAGCGCAGATATTTCTCTCTCTCTCTCTCTCTGTCAACGAAATAAGACATGTCGAAAGAAATAGTTTGCAGATCTTTATCGTGAATAAGTTTGTTGAACGAGATGATAAATAGCGATGTATAAAATAATATAATTAATACGAGATTTGAGATTTATTCAGATCATTTTCTAATGCAATTAATTATTTTTCCTTTTAAATTTTATACATAATAATACAAGAGAGTGTCGATAACAATTATATAATTATATATAGATAATAAAAAACATAAACAATTGTTACGGATCCCAGGAAGCGCCGAATCGAAGCACGTGTCTGTCAAAGCGGTCAGTCACGTGACCGGTCGCTCGCATCTACGCGACGAAAAATCGCATGATCCGTCAAGAATGAAGTTCGCCGCGCTCTGAAGCCGGCCGCGGAGCGTCGGCGCGCCAACGGTGGCATCTAGGGGAAAAAAGTTCCTAGGCGCGCGGAGACGGGCGGAAACGCGAGGTCCGCGAGAACGAGAGAGCGTTTGAAAAACGTTATTCCCAGGACGGATCCTCAAAGTTTCTTCGTATTTATTATCGGTAACGCGCGAGAGAGGATCGATCGGTGTCGCCGATCGCGAATATCCGTCGCGCGGATCTCGCCGTTCGAAGATGGCGCCGCTCGGCGTCCTCGTCGCGCGAGCGGAAGTAGCGTCTCGTTGAGACACCGAACGCGATTTTGTCGCGCGACGAACCGACGCGATCGGCGGTTCGCGAGATCCGAAAAAATCGTCTCGCGTCGATCGGTGGCCGCGCCGACGATCCCGGACGACGTAGCCATCCCGGATCCTAGTGATTCGCTCGACGGTCGCTCCACTGATCAGACTTTTCCGAGCGAAAAAATACACCCCCCACCCTTCCCTGAAAAGAGGAAAATATCGTCCCACGTGGGGACTCGTTTAATTACAAGTTACGTTGTTTGGATATGCGTCTGTCGGGCTGATTTTCCACGCGGAAGCATGGTGCAGGTGAGCGACGTGCCCGCGGCGTGTTATCGTCGCGTTTTTCGGCCGCGCCGCGCGAATCCGGCCGCGTTTCTCGCGTCGGTTCTCGCGTCGGGAATTTTTGATTGTTTTTTTTTTTTTTTTTTTTTTCTCTCTCTCTTCTTTCCTCCACCTCTGTCATCCATTAGTAAATAGGAAAGATGGCAGCAGATTATTGCGCTTTTTTCCCGTACTTTCGTCCCGGGGCGGACATTTTTCCCGGGACATTCACCGCGGGTGAGCCGGGGACGGTTGTTCTCGCCGAAAATCCCAACGAAATTGCCCGCCGAGTGCGTTTTCATCAACGAAATCCGTCGCGTTTCACGTTTTTTGAATGAAACACCGCCGTTGACGGCACGTACGCGGTTCGCGACGCGTTTTTATATACGGGCTCGTCGTCCTCCGTGGGAGACTCGCGGGTCGAACGAACGTATCGGCGGAAAAGTTACTTGGCTCCTCGTCTCCGCGCTTAACCTATGCGTACGAAAATCGGATCCGACATAAATAAACAAGACGTCGCGCGCTGAATCTCTCTAATACTCTGGAGAATCGCGTGGAAATTAGTCGCGATGATCGTAAGACTCGTAAAATTAATTTATGTCATTTTTATTTATTTATTTATTTTTTTTTTTCGTATTATTATTTTATATAATCCCGACGATGTGTCTTGCAGGCTATCGACGAGATGGAGCAGAGGGATCTCCCACAGGCGTTTCGCCTGCTGGGAGAGATGAACGCCAATGTTCTGCAGGTGAACCAGCTCGTGGACAACATGCTGGTGCGCGTGAAGAACGGCGAGATCTCGACGGACAAGGGCCTGAGTTTTCTCGAGATGAAGTATCACATGTTACTCTCCTATCTCATCAATCTCACCTACGTAGTATTGAGAAAATGTTCCGGCGAGCGTATCGAAGGTGATCCGTCGATTGATCGTCTGATCGAGATCAGGACTGTCCTAGAGAAAATCCGACCAATAGATCACAAGCTCAAGTACCAAATAGATAAGCTCGTCAAGACTGCAGTGACCGGTACCATCAACAGCGACGACCCCAGTAACTTCAGAGCGAATCCCGACGCGCTGGTCGCCAAGCTCGATAGTGAAGACTCCGACAGTGATCAGGAGGAGGAGACAGACGGCTTCAAACCAACAACGCAGCAGTCTAGGAAGTCTAACGTTTATGTGCCGCCGAAACTTGCTGCGGTGCATTATGGTCGGTTCTAATAAAAATATTTTTACATGTCTATATATATTTATATATATTAAATATGTAGCCAACAACGCGGAAGTCTAACGTTTATGTGCCGCCGAAACTTGCTGCGGTGCATTATGGTCGGTTCTAATAAAAATATTTTTACATGTCTTACATGTCTATTATATATTAAATATGTACAAGA